CTGGAAATCTCCTTAACTCTGAGCCAGGATTTCACCTCGGGCACCTGAGCATCCCTGTCCCTGTGTCTGGTGCTGGCAGGAGCGTGGAGGAGCAGACACATCCCCTCCACCAAGGAATCCCAGTGTCGGTGTGCTGGCAGGAGCTCCCGTCCACCTGAGGGACGCGAGCAAGGGATGGAGATTTCCTGCTGATGCAGCTGTTTCCTATGGAAATGCGGACTGGCCGAGCGGGTGCCTTCGGGATTTCTTATTAGGGTTTTCCTGTGTTAATCCTACACCAGGAGAGAAGTCACTGCCTGGAGTTGTACACGCAGCCAGGGGTTTGTTCCCAGGGATTTTCCCAAGGCGAGCACGGCTCAGGCACTGCCCCCAGCCCAACACCCCTCGGTGGGTCACCGCAGCCCCATCCCGCAGCACAGATGGTCCCGTAATTGCTGTTTGCTTTCCCGTCCTGGGTTTCTGGGCCATGTGTTTTGTGTTGAGATCCCTCCAGCCCCCCTGGTTTTGTGAATCACACTCCATAAAATAATGGCTACCTTGGGAAGGCGAGGCAGGACGTTTATCCTTCCTGTGCACGGGAGTTCGTCACTGTCTGCCAGGACCGGCTCATAATGCAGAGTCCTCGCTCTTAATCCCGATTTTGCAATACACTGAAGCACATCCACATCCACCACACCTACATCCACCTCCATCTGTGACACTCAGGGATGTTCTTAACTCTTACTCCTGTGGTTTTCTGCTTTAACTAATCCAGTCTCACTTCCTGTCTGTCCTGGTCCCCACCAAGCTCTTCCCATTGTCCCTCTGTTTTTCCCTCCATCAATAAATTATATATATGTTCCTCACTAAAGCACTTTAAAAGTGTAAAGGTGAGAGATGAAATAAGAAGTGCAACACAGCAATCCCCTTTCTCTTGTTGAACTTCCCTGGCACTGCTGCTTCACAGACAATATCTTTGGATATAAACAGTGTCAAGTTCTCTAAAACTAAAATACATTAAAATAAATGATAAACTAAACCTTTGTAGCAGCACCAGCACTAAAAGCCTGCAGATGATTCCCTGAGACAGAAATACAGTAATCCAGGTAGATAATGAGATCCTGTGTGACACCTCCGTGCTGGCAGAGCCCTCTCCTCCAACCCGAATCCCTCCTTCCGAAGGGAAAGGGGGAATATTCCACCCGGCTAAAAACGAGCAAGCGCTGATGTTTAAACAGAAATCTCGGAGGAAGTCGTCTGTGTAACCACAGCTGGTTTGCTGCAGACCTGAACACTCACAGCCAATTTGCTTTTTTGGTGTAATGGAATTCCAAGGCAGTCCATGGAGCTCCACCAGGGATTCATTCGGCCTTCTGCAGTTACCAGGTCAGGCCTGGAAGGGGGAAGGAAAGGAGGGACCCACCAAAACCCATCTCTTTGCCACCAGAGCCAGTGCAGCACCAGCAGCTTTTCTGTGGAGGCTGGTTTGGATTTGGGGATGCTCCTTGGTGGAGGAGATGCTTGGAAAAGGTGGGAATCCCACGGGATGCAGCTGAGATGTGCCAAAATAAAGACCTTTTACCCCAGCCCTGTCCTCATAGCCAGAGAGGGGCCACACGAAGCCCCATCCTCAGGGATCCAGGGGTGGGTTTATCCCCCAAAAGCGACCAGAGGCTGTTTGGGAAGGTGGACCCTGCCATCCTCCCCCTCCCACATGTGCCAAGCTCTTCCCTGCAGCCAAGTCCTTCCCCAGGGCTGGCTCGGGAACCGGTCGGAGCAGGATTCTCCACACTGCTGCTTTTAGTGTGTGAGCTTGCTCAGACTGAGGCTGTTCCTTAAGCTCTCCATCTCTCCCATGGAATGGGAGCTCTCCATCAGTTTGGGGGTGTGCAGGAAGCTCCAGTGTTGCACTCCCAGGGATGCACTGCCTCCCCACTTTGGCTAAAACCGCACGGACATGGGAGCTCCAGGTGGCCTTTCCCTGTCCTCGCAGCTCTGCCAGGGGATTTTTCCTCTTCTCGGATTTTCTGTGACTTTTTAAAACTCACCACAGTTGCTCCCGAAGGTCAGAGAGCTCTGAGTGTGCTCTGGGATGTGCAGAGCAAACACCTCTTCTCCCAGCCCGACCCACAGTGAGGAGCTGGGGCTCTTCCCCATTCTCCCGTGGGACAGATTCAGCCTTTACTCCTGAAACTCAGTCAGGAAATGCAAAGATCCTTTTCCCCATTTTCCCTGCACTGATGGTGAAATCCTCTTTCCCCTTCCTTTAGCACTGGCTCAGCTGTATGTGTCTCTCCCACTTCAATATTTGTGGGGGTGATGGGGGCTATGAGGGACAATCCCTTAATCCCTGCTGGTTCCCGGCCCAGCTCCCCCCACAACCCCTTTTCCCAACAGGTACCTCAGCAAGTTGCTGCCACAGCCCAAATTGTGAGGTGGGGACACAGATCCCTGTGGTGCTGCTGCTCAGGCAGTCCACAGCTCTGGATGTTGTCCCTTTCCCAAAAAACAGGTCAAGGTTTGGGGATCGTGTCGGGGCTTTGGTGTTTGTTCTTCCCACTCAACGAGGGGAGGAAAAGCCCGACGGGCGCGGCACTGCCAGGCTGGAGCCTGGAACACACAGCCATATTGTTCTGGAATCAGCAATTAGTTTCCCATTTTTCTCCCTCATCCCTCCGAGAAAGGGACGAGGAAAGGCCCCACTTCAGAATAAATTAGTTTCTCAAAAGAGAGGGAGCTCTGCAGATGGCTGCCTTGTGCTCCTCCCAGCTTGTGCAGCTCTGGAGCACAAGGTGCCCCATCCTCAACCTGCCCGTGCTCCAGATGTTCTCCCATTCCAAACACCTGGAACAGGGGAGGTGGCCTCACCTCCACCTCCTTTCCCCAAAAAGCAGCTGCTAAATAATATTTATTGTTGAACTTCAGCATGAATTTTGCCCAAGTGTTTCCCTCTGGAATACTGTGGCTTTATCGCTGAAGATGGGGGGTGGATTTAGAACTCCAGAATTCCCAGATTTTTCTTTTTCCTGCTCCAGATGTCACTCTGTTTAGCAATGGGAGTCCAAGGGGTAGACTCTGGAAGTCACTTGAACACTTCTAATAACTGGAGGGAGTGTGCTCTGTGTTACACCAGAATGGAGCTCGCTCTGGTCTTGGCAGTGCTGTGGTTTCCCTCCCGTTCCTGTGGCTCAGAGTAGAGGGGAGAACTCCCATAAAATATAATTTTTAGGGAGCACTTTGGCAGCAATACAAGCTGCCTCTGATTTTCAGGTGGGGAGCAGCTCTGGTCTGAGGAGAGACAACACCTGTGCTTGTGCAGCAGCTCTTGGCGATGCCCAACTGCCTTAAATGGAGCCTGGAAAAGTCTCATCCAAAGGCAGCATTTCTGAAGGGAAGCAGTGAAATGGGGCAATCACAGAATATCCTGAGGTGGAAGGGACCCACAAGGATCATCCAAGTCCAACTCCCACGCAGTATCAGGGTGTTTTAAAGGAGAGTTGCCCTACTGCACCTTGAGGGCTTCCAGGGGTGTAGCTATTAAGGATATTTATTTTTTCCTGCTGCTTCACCAGTGACTGGTATTTCTCTGGGGAATCAGTATCTCCAAATAGCTGAATTTTTCCTTAGTCTTTCCCTGTGTAACATCTGGATCCTGCAAAAATCATACCATGCTCTGTTTGCAAGATCCTGATGGACCGAGGACCACCAGAAGAAGGCAGGAAGTATTTCAGCTCCCTGGGTTTCCTGCAGTTTAGTTGGATTTCAAGCAGACCCTCGGGGTCCCACCCTCGCTGTGTGTGCATTTAGCTCCTGGTGTTCCGTAGGTTGCTTGTTCCATGTGCCAGTTCCTCCTTGGAGCTTTCCCAGGTTTAAAAGCAATGGGACAAGCTGGGCACTGGAACAGGCTCCCCACGGCAGTGGTCACAGCCTGAGCTCAGGACAAGTTTGGACAAGGCTCTCAGGGACATGGTGGGATGCTGGGGCTGTCCTGTGCAGGACCAGGAGTGGGACTCGTGATCCAGCTCAGGAGACTCCACGACCCCATGGAAAAACCCCGTTCTACAACTGACGGAGGGGCTTCAGTGGTGCTGTGGTGCTGCCAAAGACAGGTACTAAATAACTTCTGAGGCTTTTCGAGTTTCCTTTAGGGTTTTAAATCCGGTTTTGAGGAGAATATGGAAATTTCCAGATGTTCTGGTTGGGAAGAAGACACGACCGCTGCCATATCACACCTCCTGGGGAGACCACGGAGACCACGGACACGTCCCGGTGGGGACGGGCTCTGTGGGGAACCTCTGGGACACCAGAGAACTCCCTGTTGGCCTTTTCCCCCCTCAACCGGAATGGAGGGGCGGGTCACGGGGCCGCTCGGGGGCAGCCACAGCCACGGGGAGCCCGCGGCCTTTCCAGTGCCCATCCCCGGGTGGGAGTGATGGGCGCCGGGCCACCCGTGCCTCGTGCCTCTCCTCCCCGGCAGCTTCCCGCGGGGCTCCCGCCGAACCCCCGGGACTCCCGACTTTCCCGGAGTTTGGATGCGGGGACTCGGTTTAAGCGCGGCAGCCCCCGGGATGCTCCGGGCACACCCGGGAGGGGCGAGGGCGTCCCGGGTGCAGGATGGGGGGGTCTCTGACAGCGTCCCGTCCCGCGAGGGACCCGCGGCCACCGGGGGCTCCCCGGGTGCGCGGCTATCCCGGTGTTCCCGGTGATCCCGAACCCCGCACGGGGGGCGCGGGCTGAGGGGCTCGGGGGGGGGGGGGGGGGGCGGGGGGGGGGGGGGGGGGGGGGGGGGGGGGGGGGCGGGGGGGGGGGCGGGGCGGGGGCGGGCGCGGCGCTGATTGGGCGGTGGCGGCGCGGGGCGGTGGCGCTGATTGGGCGGCGCGGCGGGGCGAGCGGCGGGCGGCGCGCGGCGATTGGCTGCGGACGAGGAAGCAGGAAGGAGGCCGGAGGCGCTCGCGGCTTGCGGGGAGTTCGCGGCGGCGGCGGCGGCGCCCCCGGTCCCTCCTCCGCCCTCTCCTCCGCCCCCTCCTCCGCCCCTCCCGGCCCCTCCGCCGCCCGCTCCGGCCTCCGCCCGCCCGCTCCGCGACGCCCCGCGGCCAGGGGCGGGCGGCGGCGGCGCCTCGTCCCCATCCCGCAGCCGAGGAGGCGGCGGCGCTGACGCAGCAGCGGCGCGGAGCCCGGGACTCGCCGCGCTCCCGCCGCTGGATTTCTCCCCCCGGGGCCTGCGGCAGCTTCCCGGTGAGTCCCCACGCGGCGCCGCGTCGTCCCTCCGCCCCCGGGAACTCTGCCGGGCCGGGAGCAGGTGCCGCCGCCGCCGCCCCGGGGTTTGGGGGGGGGGGGGGGGAGGCGCGGGGCCACCGGGAACTTCCCTCGGCGGCGGCGGGGAGGGAACGCCAGGAGGGCACCGCGGGCTCGGGCCGGGCCGGCGTTACCCCGCGCGGTCCCGCCGGTGCGAGGCCGGAGCGGACCCGCCGAGCCCCGCGGGTCCCCCGCCCCGGGCGCTCGGGGAGCACAAAGGCGGCGGGGGGGGGACCCCGGGACTTGCGGGGTTTGTGGCCCCCGGGGGCTGCTCGCCCCGGCATTGCCGGTGCGGGGCCGGTTCCCGGGAGAGCCGCCGCTGCCCGCGGCCCCGCCGGTGTTGGGGCAGAGCTGGCGCTGCCCGGCCGGGAGTTGGCACAGGACGGCCCGGCCGGGTCGGGGTTTTGGGGGGTCCCCGCGGCCGGGCGGGGCCGTGAGCCCCGCGGCGGGGTGGCTGCTGGTAGAGCGGGTGCGTCCGTCGAGTTCCCGGTGGTTTCCCGAGGTGATGCGGCGTGAGCCCCGTGTCCCTGTCGGGCAGGTGCCACCGAGCCTCTCCGGGGCTCAGCGGAGCAGATTTCGTTTCCATCGCGGTTTTCCCCACTTGCCGTGCGTTCTCCGTGGCCCTGGACACCTCTCCTTTCCTGCCGGCAGCCCCAGTGGCCGAGGGCTTGTTTCCTCTTCTCCTTTTGTGTAGCGGTGGCTCCTAATGGAGGCAGCTCCGTTGGCTCCCTCTTTTCCAGCTGCTTCTACGAGGCGCAGGAGCCAGCACATGTGACTGGGCAGAGCTCGGGAAGACGAGCAAGTGCTCCCTGGGCTCCGCTCGGAGCCAACCCCGGCACAGGGACCCCCACCCCCGGCACGGGGAGCGGCAGGGACCCCTCTGTTCCCCGGGAGCAGCCGTGAAAACTTAAAAAAATACGAGAGCGCTCGGGAGCTGTTCTGTTCGCCTCTCCCCCTCCCCTCTCTCTTTCCACGAAATGCTTATCTGAGGGAGGTTGTGGCTGTGTTTTGTTTTAAGGAATCCAGCTGCCCCTCGTGCTCCGTCTGAAGTCATCATTGTGAGGAGCGGGCGAACCTCAAAGCGAGAGGCTCTGCCGGGCTTTGGCTCGCCCGGTTAATTGATCTGCCCATCAGTTTGCCACAATTAGCGAGCGCTTGCTCCACGCCGAGGGGATCTCTGATGTTCGGGGGGGGGCCAGGAGGCTGGTTTGAAGGCTTCCAGCCCTCGTGGTTGCGGGAAGGAGTGCCACGAGCTGCGTGATAGACTGATGCTTTTGAAATCTTAATGTGATTTAAATACCAGCACGCCGCTGATCGCTTTAGCAGAGATATCCTGCTCACATATTCATCCCGAGCCATCCTTCACGTTTGGCATGTCCTGCCTACCTGAATCCTTCCCCAGCTTCAGCTGGAACTGTCTAAATATTTGCTGGCGATAGGAAACCGTGTGTTAGGCTGGTTTACCAGGACATTTTGGATTCAAACATTGATTTCTGTTTGTTTTCCTCATGAATTCAGTGCAGCATTTCCAAGGGAGCTTTCCAGCTGCTCTTCTGGAGCAGAGCAGGGAAGTGTAGCATCGCCGATAGGTGTAAAACCAGCTGGGAAACAGCAAACCTGCGAGGGAAAATGATTCCCTCAACTTTGGGAGAGTGCATCCTTTCCAGATGCTCTGTTTGCTGGGTGTTGATGGTGACAGTTGCACAGGACAGTAAAATGCCACTTAGAAATGTGGGTTTTGGGAGGAAAGCAGTCGCAACCTTGGGTCTTGCAGCAGAAATGTTATTTTGGAGGTCGCTGAGGTTTCTCATCCAACTCAACAGTTTGGTTTAATGTCTGTGCTCTGTCCTCCTTGCCAGTCATGCCCATCACCTTTCTGTCTCCACTCTGGCAGCCTTAGTGTTTGTTTGTGTTTTTAACCAATGTCACAGAACCACAGGACTGTTAGGGCTGGAAGGGCTCTCTGGAGGTCATCCCCATCTAGAGCAGGGGACACAGGAATGCGTCCAGGTGGGTTCGGGATGTCTCCAGGGAGGGAGACTCCACAACCTCCCTGGGAGCTGTTCCAGTGCTCTGCCACCCTCCATGGAAAACTCTTCCTCCTGTTGAGGTGGAACTTGTTGTGTCTGAGGTTTTTGCAGGTTGATTTTGTGTGCTGTGATGGTGTGTCACTCGGGGGCTCCGTGGTACATGTGTGCTGGTCCAACCTGGGGAGATCCGATCTAGGGAGCGCCTGGCTGGGATTTGGGGGAAATCCACCCTCAAGCAAATGCTTTCCTAATGCTGCTGCAGCACGGAAAATAAGCCCTTAGCAGCAAAGCTGTCCAAAGTAAACAATTGAAAAATAATTAGGAATGGGAGGCAAAGGCACGTTTGCTGCTTGGCATCGCGTTCAGATCGCAGGGAAATGAGGGAATGACGATACCTGGCACTGCGAAAACAAGAGGGTGTGCCCAGATGTGCAAATATCACATCCACAAGGAGCTGTGTGGGGCTTTTTTTTTTACCCCATCTCCCAGTTGGTTGTCCCCATTTGGACATCAGAAGGAATTTCTTCACGAAAAGGGTTGTCAGGCAGAGGGAGGGGCTGCCCAGGGTGGTGGTGGAGTCCCCATTCCTGGAACGACTGGACGTGGCAGTCAGTGCTCTGGGCTGGGTGACAAGATGGGGATGGGTCACGGGTTGGACTTGGTCTTGGAATGTCTTTTCCGACCTGAATGATTCTGGGATCTCAATTAACCACGTCCAAACACCCCACGGAAGCAGGGGCAGAACAAGCCTGGCTGGTCATGCCCGACCAGCTGAACCAATTAAGTCACAACTCTCATGTTATTAATAATAAACAAGCAGCGGTTCAGATAACTGGGAAATAAATTTAAAAAAAAATAATAAAAAAAAAGGTAAACACCCCAAAGAAACCCTAAACCTAAAATAGTTCCAGACATAAGCTGTGGGCTGGCAGGGGCCGGGGTGGCTGGTGTGTGACAGCGAGGGACATGTGGTGGTCCCAGGGGATTGTCCCCCATCCAGAGGGCTCTGATTTGCTCTCCTGCTTCACCTCTCTGTGTATTTACATTCCTGCTTCCAGCAGCTCAGAGGGGAGCTGCCGGTTATATTCCCAGCTTCACATTTGGGCTGTCTTCAGCTATTTCTCCCAATGGAAAGGCTGGAAAACGTTGCAGCTTCTGGATGCAAACTGTGTTTGAAGGGAGGGGGTGTTTTGTGGAGGGTGCTCGGGAATTGTGCTCTGTGTTTCAGCACAAGGACTGGAGGCTTTGGGTCCTTCAGCAGTGCTCTCTGTCCGGCATGGCAGCTCCTCTTCCATTCACACCAGAGACGTGGATTGTAATGGCAAAAAATATTAAAATTCATGGCCAGATTGTTGCTCTGAGTGCATGAATTATCTCCAACAAGACCATCACGGTTTAACCCTCTTTTGCACTTGTACTGGCACCTGGTATTCTTTAAATATGGAAAACACACTTAAATGTAATACTACTGGTTTTATTTCTTAAAAGACAGAAGGAAATGAGATTGTGTGGGACAATGCCACAGGCCTTTGTCCAGTTACTGCCCAGATTTGCTGTTTTAGCACGAAGCTTTTTTATAAATAAAGTAGAGTCACAGTGATAGTGCATGGGAATAGAAAACCCCTTCCATTAGAAGAACAGGACACTGGAAAACTTCATCTGGCCATAAAGTAAAATGAGGGACTGGTGTTCTTAAAGAGAGGAACCCAAGGATGTCATTAGGAAAAATAACTATAAATCCGATTTAAAACCAGTACATTTGGAGTTTAGTTGATCTGTTCCATGTTATTTTTTCTCTTGCCGTGTGGGTGAAATCCTTGTAAAATCAGGGTATGGAGAGCTGGTGGGGTGTAAGAAGTGCAGTCAGCTGAGGGAACCAAACCTGAACCTCGTTGTAAAAGCTCTGGATCTCTCAGTACTATCCTCTGGAAGTTATACAGTTGTAGTTTGAGTTAAATGACGGTGGAAGCCCCTCAGTGGGGACAGCAGATCTGCTCTGCTTCTGGAGAAAAGCAGCTGAAAAGGAGGAAAAAGCAGCCTGTTTTCCCTTTCCTCAACCAGTTATCTGTGGACATCGAATATATTGTAGACATGCTCCATACAGGGTGGGGGGTTATTAACCCCACATGGGTCAGAAATAACACCAGGGACACTCCTGATTTTGCCTGGTTTCTGAGCAGTGCTTTGGGCAGTGCTGAGCTCTTGGGGACAGGGAAGGACACGAGTGTTTCCTCAAATTAAAAAAACGTGGGAATGAGCCGTGTAACAGCCCATGAGTCCGGTGGCACCGGGCAGTCCCCCTGGGATTCCAGCTGAGTGTGCAGCTAAATAAACACCTATTCCCTGGGAGGGATGTGTGTCAGCTCCCCTGGAGCACCGTGTGCTCGGGGCCGGAGCGCTGCGCGTTTTTCCCACGTGGCACGGCCGGGAATGCTGCTTTTATCACCTTTCTATGAAAGCCCTGCCTGAGATTATAGGTGGATACGTGGTCGGGTCTTGTCGAGGGCTGCTTGGAAACGTTAGGTTTGTGTGCCATTTGAAACTCCCAGTGCCTTTGGGGCCGCCCAGGAATTTGGGGGGTGTTTGCTGTCACATGTGCGCAGGCACCGTGACAGGAGCCTGACGGATCAGCCGGGTGCCAGAGTGTTGGGACCCGTGTGCCTTGTGTGTCTCCTTGCCCTTTCCAGAGGAGGGTGGTGCAGCCCAGGTGGGATTTTCCTGCTGCTGTATTCCCTGGGCGCCGTCCTGCTGGGGGTGGAAGCGCTCTGGGAAGCGGCACGTGGCGCAGGTGGGATTTGTGTTAAACGTGGCGTGCTCAAGGATAAGATGCTGCCGCCGGGTGCTGCATTCCTCGTGTCCCAGTTCTCCTGAACAAAGGTGTGACTGAAGGCAGGGATGATTTTTTAGGTT